ATTTGACCACGTGACCTCAGGAAGAAATTTAAAATATCTGCTTTATCTTTGACGTCCACCTGCTCCTCGAAAGATAGAGAACACCAAAGTGTCTACTTCTTTGCTACTCACTTATCCCTCGAAGGACAGGGAGTGTCAAAGAGGGGCAACTATAAACACTCTATTTTAAATTTGATAAATTCTATGGTTTTTTAACCATTACGACCACATTATCCTAGTAAACCCAATTTAATTACCTCAAAACTACCCAAATCCTATCATTATTTGATGTAGAGCCCAAGCGCTTTTCAAAGGTTTAAGAATCGCCTGAATCAGGCCTGCGGATAAAAGATTTAACAAATGATAATTTAGTCCCTGTGAGACCCAATTGTCGGGCCGTGGGCTGGGCTGTAACCGACCCGATAGACCCAAACGAGGGCTGATGATGCGGTCAACCCATTTGATGTTGCAGTAAACACGTTTTCTTTAATTAGATACTAAAAGTTTATCTTCAATAAAAAGACAGTTTCATAAAAAAACATCTGCTTCCCCTTCTTCAAAAAAGGCTTCATGTTCAAAGTCATAGCCCGGATACGTTCCAAGATTTAAGGAATATGCATAAGCGATGAAAGGAAAAAGTGAGTTGCTTGAAACAGAATTTGCTCCTCATAAGCCTTTATTGCAAACTAATGAGGAAACCATTATTGCTCAATGGCTAAATCACTTTCTAGAAGAAGACCCTTAGCAAAACGAGCTTCCAAAATACTAAGACCATCCAGTTTCCCAGATAAAAATGCTAAGATCTAGATCTTTCTCAACGTTTTCATTAGAAACCCAGAAAATGACCCCAAAAATCCAAAATCCCTAACCAATCCAACCGATGTTTCCTTGCACTCTTTTGTTTTAGAGAAAGAAGGTGTCTTACATAGTCAAGGTAATGTCAGTTTTCATGAAGTTAATAAGAAAGACTTGTATGATCTTTCTCTGTTTGAGTCCAGGTTTTCCCTGTCGGTTCGTAAGAAATGTATTTTTACTTTTATTTGAAGAATCAGATATTGAGAGGTGGAAAAATAAGAAATATCAATATGCCTATATCGGGCAAATAGATATTCATGTTTACCCACATTTCAATTATGATTTAGGAGCAGGATATTTAGTTTCTCCCTTAGATACATAAATTTATATGGGAAAAATCCTTGGTTTGTAAATTTAGACGATGTCTAGACAAATATAATATTTGCACTTTCTTTGATTCTAAATGATGAGTTCATTACCAAAGCTTTCATGGCCTGTATAGAAGTAAAAAGGATAAATCTTTTACTAGGGTCTGTGGAAGCCACTATAGAGTCTAGATGTATTTTGAATTTAACTAGTTCTGCAAGCACCTGTTCAAAATTAAATTATGGTGTCAAATTTCAAATATTGTATCTGAAGTTGGTCCCTCTGTAAATTATGATAACTTCATAACTGGTTTTCCTGCTATTTCTGAATATTTGGAGTCTCATCAATTTCAAATTAAAAACTAGATTCAAAATGTTGTCCAAAACCCCATAGAGAGCACCAGTTAAATACTCCATCATTATCCTGAAACCTATGAACATATCCCTTCATACCAGCCAAAGAAATACTTTACCCCTCATTCTGTCAGTTGTCGATACTAATCCCCCTATGAGAGAAACTACATATTCACCAAACATGGAAGCCGCTCAACTTGTACAAAGTCGCATCGTAACCAAAGTGAAAAAAGATGCTAGCCAGTCATTAGTCATTGGAGGAGATTGGCCTCCCAAAATGGCTTATTTTACTGCTACTCCAGAGCAACTACCTCCTGGTTCATAACATTGATTCTGACAAAGTCCAAAAGGATGAGGTATGCCAATTATATTATTTAAGGTATTCGACATCAAATGCTGCAAAACATATATTAGCCATTGAATCTCATATTCAACAAATAAAGGAATATTTAGAAATATTGGCTAATACAAGGAAAAAAACAACAACAAGAAGAAAAAATTATGCAAATCCATTAAAATCATTTGCAAATATTTGAGGACAAAAAGAAAAAAAAAGATAAAGCTGCAAAGCCCTTTAAATTCAAGCATCCAAGTTTTTCTAGCTTTCACTCTTTCTTATTCAAAATTCAAAAAATAAATTCAAAAAATAAGGAAGAATCATTCTCAGTTTCTCAAGTAAACATGATGAGAATTTCTATTGTCAAGCAATATAGTCTCAAAAATATAGGAGATGACATTCCTATTTTAAATATTGATGAGCTAACTCATTCTCCTTCTAAAACAAAACAAGAGACCATTACTTGGATACATCGAGGAATATATGTAGCAAGTATAAGAAGATGGTCAAACATGGATTCTATCAAGCATGCTACAGGATTCTTGCAGGGAAGAGCTGGTTACTGGTGGACTAATCTTGATGATGCCTTTAAATTCAAGCCTCCAAGTTTTTCTAGCTTTCCTTCTTTTCTTCTTTATAATTCAAAAAATATGGAAGAATTAGCCTCAGTTTCTCAAGTAAACGTGATGAGAATTGAGACTGTCGAGCAATATGGTCTTCGAAATATAGGTGAAGACATTCCAATTTTAAAGATTGATGAGCTAACTCATTCTCCTTCTAAAACAAAACAAGGGATCATTACTTAGGTACACTAAGGAATATATGTAGCAAGTATAAGAAGATGGTCAAACATCGATTATATCAGTTATGCTACAGGATTCTTATAGGGAAGAGCTGGTTACTGGTGGATTAATCTTGATAATACCAGGCAAAATGCCATTGCTGTAGCAAGATTCACTAAATTAGGGTCCAAATTAATTCCATAATTTGTTTCAGAATCACCAGTACAATATGCTACAGACATTGTTTTATTGGGAAAGAGAAAGCTCCAAAATATTGATGATTTTGAATAATATTAAAAAAGTTACAGCAATGAGTGATACATGTTGGGGTTATACAATAATGCAACCTACAATGCATACTATCTTGCATTCCTACCAGGCAATATCCCATAACTTGTTCTCGAAACACTTTTTATGAAAAACTTATTAGTGGAAAATCTAATAACGGCTAATGTAGTGGGATTTGCTAGAGAATAAATTAAAAAAGTGTATTACAAAGATGATACCAGGACATGCTTAAAAGCTGGATCTAAAGTATATAACACTATTGAAGGAGCAGAAGAATATAATATCCCCAAATTCAGAAAAATTCATAAAAGAAGAAACTTCAAACCCTACTAGTTCTACAAAAGAATAAGGGGATAAAACCGAGATCCAAAGGACTATGTTGTGCCTGCCAATAAGAGGGACACTTGGCAGCACAATGTCCATAAAAAGATCCAAAACAAATCAAAGTTATATTCATAAAATCTGAAATCCAAGAAGACTGGTCCATAATAGAGACAGTTGAACAGTTGAAAGAAGCATTCAATAAAGAAAACATGTTCATCCTAGAAGTAATCATCCAACTGTAACTCAAGCTTATTTACTTTTTAAAAGTGGTTTTACTATTATGCTTTTTAGTGTTATGGAAGATAGAGTGACGTGTGTTTGTAATTAAAGCTTTGTACTTGTTGATTTTATCTTTATTTTTAAGTGGATGTATAAAAGAGTGACATGTAGATGTATCTAATATACCAGGGTACTGCTTGAGTGACATGTTGATGTACCTGATGTATTAGGGATTGTTTGATTTTACTTTTTTTGGTTGGTATTACTTTTCGTCCCTAGTTTTAACTCACGGTTTTGTAAGCCGCTGTGGTAATCTAGTGCTAGGTTTCACTATAAATAGGTAACCTCTTGCTATGAGCGTAATTCAATTAGGAACACTGAAAGGTGTCGTTAACTATTCTGGTAGTTGATCGAGAGGGCCAACAAGTCGCAGCATTTAAAAAGATATTGCAGCGGACTGTTGGTAGTTGAGCATAATACCCATCGCTCTTCGTCAAGCTTCTCAGCTATTGGTTTCTACTTCCCTTGTTATCAGTTTTTCAGGTAACCCTTATCTATTTAAAAAGAAAAAATGCTTCTCTTTTGTTTTTGAGGTAACCCCTATCTATTTTTTTTTTAAAAATGCTTCTCTTGTGCTCTGTCTAATTTCTTTATTTCTTTATGTTTCCAATATTCGTGAACCCTTTTCTCTTTCCAGTTGAGTGTTTCCGGTCCCTGTAAACCCTTTTTCATTAATTATTGTGTTTATTTTGTTTCTCTCTCGTAAAAGCCATCCATTATTAAGCCGCATTAGACTTTCTTTATGCCTCTTGGTTGAAGGTTGTGGTCCTTTTCACTTCTTTAAAAGCTCACCTTTCTGTTCGTTCTCGTGTTTGTTTTGGGTGGAGAAGGTGGCGTACCCAAAGATAAGGAGAAGTTACATCGATTGAAAACAATTTCAGAGAAAGTGAGAGGGGCTTGAGAGAGATGGAAGGAGGCAGAGAAAATTCGAAGATAGTGTGGAACGAGGCCGAGAAGAGATTCGAGAGTGAAGATAAGAAGGCATTCATCCAATACCATTTGAGAAACTCTGGTAAAGTAATGGACATCGTCCACACCTATGTGCCTTCTTCAAAGAGAGGCCAAGGCTTGGCCTCCCACCTCTGTATTTCCGCCTTTAACCACGCCAAGCTCCACTCCATGAGTGTAATACCCACCTGCTCCTACGTTTCTGTAAGCCTCTTTTCATATTATTTTAATCCTTTTTTGTGGTGTGCCTTTCTGGGTTTAGTTCCGTTTTGCTATGTCCTGCTCTATACTTAATTTGGGTTTTTTTGCTTTTGTTTTATTTGATTGATTGTCTTCTTCTGATAATGGCCTCTTTTTTGGGGGATCGTTATTTCAGATGGGTATTCTGTTTGTGTTTTTATCGCAATTGGGTTTTTCTCACTGGGAGAACTGAAATACTTTGACAGTGGTTTTTGCTATCATTTGGATTTTGACTCTTAAGAGTATGGATCTAGTCAGCAGAATCAAGATCTAGAAGCTGGGAATGAGCTTAGAAGTGTGTTCATTAATTGTTGATTTGATTATTATTCTAACTCTATTGTTTTTATTGGGGAATTGACTCGGATTAATATTGGACTGAAATATGAATCTGTTTTGGGGTTCTTATAATGTGTAGACAATTTGGTGCTCCACTTTAGGATTACTTGGCATCAACTAGAGAGAATTCGATTCTTTGTTTTACTCTATCATAGAACAACTTTTGGTTTGATTGACCGACAATGAAATTGGTTTGTTCATTCCAGATTTCTAGCATTGCTGCTGAGAATTTTTTCTATAGCGAGCTATAGTAATAATACCCATTTGTTGTGCTTCAGGTTGTCAACCCTTATTGTTTCTCATTGGTCCCTAGAGTGTGCTTTTCTAGAAAGGTTGAAAATCTCCATGTAGGATGTCGAAGAGGATATCTTCAAACACAGACTTTTCATGATTCGGATGATTAATACCTCATGGATTAAGAATATGTGAAAGAAATTATGTAACCCATTAGGGCAAGTAATATAACCCATATTATGATGTTGCAATCGATGCTATTGCAACTGCTGAGTGTGGGTTAAAACTCATTCAACATGAATCTGGGGGGCATAGTTGAATGAGGTGTTCACAAGGTATATCAGTTGTGTAGCACTTCAGTTAGACATGGGCAAACACCATATTCTTCATCAAATGGTGATGCACAGTAAGACCCAGTAGAGTACCACATGGATTTGTTCCTCAGAGAATCAATTGATGTTTCTTTTTTTATGATAATGAATTGAGAGGTGCTTCTTTTCATGCCAAAAATTCAGATATTGTTAAGTAATTAAATTGACATTTATGTAGGGGTGGTTGGTAAGTTGTGCAAGTTATTTTCATGACAAGCTATAAGAATGCAGCAGATTATTTGACAAGGAAGAGACCACTTACTTTGGGTTCTCTGTGGCACCCATTATTTGGAATTTAAGGTTGATGGAATCAGCTAGATTAGTTGAAGCATGTGATCAATTAATAAGAGAAAAGTTATAAAGAAATTCATTTGGATTCTAAACTTAAATTCCAGCAAACAATGATGCATGGATACTGGTACAAGGTGTCGACATTAGACACGGTGCATGATCATTTGAGAAATCAAAATGCTAGTGATTGCAATGTGAGTGTATTGTTGCATGGAGGTTGCATGCATCCAATGCACATAATATTCATACAGCAACCCACAGAGAATCCAAGAATCCAACAAAGTTATAGCGAGGAATTCTGGTATATGTAGGAGATATTAAGATTTATAGACTCGAGGTGTGAGTTGGTTATCCTGTCTCTATGTGTAGGGTTTTAAAAAAGAAAACTTAATATTAAAATAAATAAATGTTCAAATATAATATTACAAAGCATGATTATTTTGAGAGAAGAATCCGAGACATCATGAGAACAATCAAGATATTTGAGATTCTGCATATCTCAAGAACCCTATCTTCAGGATTCTTCTGAATGGAGAATCCAGCATTGTTCATGCGGAAACCATTCGCATAGACGGTTCACCCACTTCCAACGTGGTTTTGGAGCCTAGAGTGAAGAGTCAATGCACCCTAGCCAGGGAATAAAAAACTCTTTTCAAGTCAAGTTGACTCCACCAAGTCAACTTCGTTTTGCACAAGGATGAATTTTATAATGAAAAGTCGTGTTTGGGCTCAATTTTAGTTGATAAAATATATATACCAGACTGGGAATAATTGAGATTTGGTGTCTAGCAAGATTTATGGGTGGGGGTTGCGACACTAGCAAAAGTATTTGCAAGACTCTTAACCATAGCCCAAGAACCTGAAGCCTCAGTTGTGTATGCGTTTGCTGGTAGCAGGTCTCACCACCCTGTGGAAATCCATGGCTTGGACCTATAGAGCAAGAGAATGTAGACCATCTTTATGGGAAACCTCTGCTTGAGGGAACATCAAGCTGAACTTTGATATCAGCTCATTTGGAAATCATAGGCCATCAGGAGTGGTGGGAGCATTTGGGGTCATTTTGGTGCCTCTAAAAAAGAACAAGAAGTCAGTGTCAAAGTGAAACATGGGTTGTGGTAGTATGTATCCCCTCTACGGAATTCGTCTCAAGTTCAAATCTTGCAGCTACACTATGTTTTTGGAAAACACTTAATCTTTTAAAGTTGACTATTTGACTCAACAAGTTGACTTGGTTTTGACATTGTCTGATTTGGGGACTGAGTTCGAGTTTTGGAACATTGGTATCATCTAAATAGAGCATGCTTGTGAGTCCATCATACTTGTCATTGGAGCTCATTGTCCCAAATTTCCCTAAAGAGAAGGTTGACATCAATTTAGTGGACTTTTAAGATATCTTGGTATCTGAACTTGCAAAAAGTAGAAGAAATCATATTCAGCAAAATAAGTTGGAATTCTCATATAGAAATAAGCACATTTAACAAGTTTTAGAACCCTGTACATAAAAAGTGTTGCAAAAACAATGTTTAAAAAAAAGAAAAAGAGAAAGAAAAAGTGACAAGAGTGTCTAACCTTGAGCGACTTTAATAAATTGTTTTCGTTTTTACTTAGTGAAAGTAATTGCTATCAACATAAAACATGATTTATGAAGCATAGTAATGTGAAACATACTTGGTACTTTAAGTGACAGCGCATATAAGATTTTCCTATAATAAGAGAGTGGAAGGCTTGCTCTTCAAGAGCATGAATGAGAGGAGGGGACGCATGTCTACATCTTTTCTAATCTCCCAATCCTAGATATTTTAGATATGTTCTAAGACAGGATGCCTGAACACTGTTTCAGGCTCCTAAATATATATGACGTAATGAAGAAGTAGAATGGCCTTACCTTACTCTTGTTTGAGTTAGACTTTCCCAATAAAAATAAAATGAAGAAAATGTTGTATCACTTTAGACAACCTTTTGGAGGTAAAATTTAGTTGTGGTTGAACTATCTCCGGACTCAAATATTTTCAGATCCTGTTCCCAATGAGCTAATTCATAGCTGTTTGGATGTGTTGGATCTTCTAGTCATGACCTTTTTATGGTTATACTGTTTTAACCCAATTTATTGGTGGGACTGAGCTAAAAATCTTATTACCATTTGGATCTTCCTCTTTTCCTTAAGTATGTAACCACTTGTAAAAGGGTGTTAATCATATTTCGTGATGCCTTACTGTTGTGAGAGATAAACAATTTTCTAGTTACAATAAAATGATGGGAATCATTGTGTTTTCCTTAAGTGGGCAAGCTTCTAAATGGGACATTAATTATTTTTCAGCATGATCCCTACCTGTTGTTAGGGGATCTTTCTATTTGCAAGGACATGATGTGGAAGAACGTTGCAAAATACTTAAGGGTTTGGGAATCATTTCATTTCATGACTATTATTTTCGTTTTCTTGAGTAGGTATGATGGTTTGCATGAGGTTAAACTTCAAACCTCTGACCCCCCTCCTGCAAATCAGGTCCAACACCCACTATATCAAGGTCACTAAGCTTGTTTTGTTTCATTTTTCTTTCATTCTAAGGGGTATATTGTGTGGAATTCTATTTTATTACACTAAACTAGCTGGACCTTCCTTCTCTTTTTCCATTGCACATTGAGCTAGGCTTTTTCTATCTTTCAATATACACAAAAATATCTCTTTTCTTTTGCAGATCAGGAAATAAGTTTCTTACAATCTTGTGAACTCTCCTGCACCCCGCCCTCCCTCTCTTTTCTTTCCTTCTCTTTTCTCTGTTTTTGTGTTTACAGTTTAGTTTGTGTGAAATTAGCAAGAGGAGTATGTATGCAATTATATAGAGGTTTTTTTGAAAACTTAAGTTGCATTGGGGTGCTAAATTATGTGAATTTTTTTTTTTTCATGGCAGGAAACTTTTCTTGTGAGGAACCCATCTTGGAATACAGTTGTAAATCCGGAATATCTAAAGTCTAGCATCTGAGATTCACATGTTTGCATGATGCCCTGGCCCCTGCCATGGGAGACAAATTCTAGCATGTAAATAAAGGTGAATTGGCCCATCATTAAATACTTAATCATCTGGATTTCTTTCTCTTGTAAAAGAATAGATCATATCCCCAGAATGCATTTTCTTATTCTGTATTTTTAAAGTAGTTTCTGGTTTCATGTTAGAATCATTTTGGTCATATCTTGTAAACCATAAGTGAAATATCCAAAGCACCAAAATTATACAAGTCATTCCAGCCTATTAAACCTCTTAATAATCTAATGTCATTACGTAGATGCATCCTCATTGGTAGCATTCTAATGAATCAAGAGGCATGGCTGTTGACCACATGCACTTGATGTATACAAACTGGGCATGCATCCCCATAAGGACATGCGTGGTGGCATCAAATTCCCGCCATTGCATATATTATTTCCAAATGTTTCATGTCTTAATGGGGAGGCCTTGCTCAGATTTTAGATGGCACATGCCACTATCTTTACGTTCTCTTGAACGTCAATGGATGTCAACAGCCAAGGCAACCTACCAGAGGGCCATGATTTATATTTCATGCTTTGATGCATAAGAAATTTGATAGCTTCCATTGACCAAATAAAGAAGAATAACATCCAACAGGACTGTCCTTTGGATGAAATGAGAAAATTTGTTTACCTCATGGAGAGAAAAAAAAAGTTAAAAGATATTCAATCTTTGGAACTCTGCTTTGGGACTGTCATGGAAGAGCCTTTTGGATTCATCATCTGCCAAAAAGGCTTGAAGGTTGACCTGAGTAAAATCAGCGATATATTGGCAGCCATATCCGGTCGGCCACCAAACGAAGTATTGGATGTGGTTCTTCTTCCCAAGAGGGAGCAACCCAGTGATGATGAAGAGGCACTAGCAAAGCATTTCCAAGATGTCTATTAGCAAATGCCAAAAAAGCTTTAGAAGAGTTATAGTAAGTCCTAAGCTAAAGCCGACCAGCTCCGACGAGAGTTTTAGTGAACAATGCATGCAAAATTGAGCTTTCAGTGGACTATGGCATATCTCTTGTCTTTAATGTCTCCAATCTGCATGAATACCATAGGCAAGCAGTTGGCATAGAGGCTGCAAATGGAGAAATTCTTTGAGTTTATCAATGGCATGTGGATTATTCCTAGTAACAATAATGTCAACCACATATACAAAGAACCACAGTGAACTCATTTGGGGCTTGACGAGTGAAAAGAGAATAGTCAGCGGTGGATTTTGTAAATCGAACATCTCGATGAGCAGTTGAAAATTTAGAAAATCATTGTCGGGATGCTTGTTTGAAGCTGTAAATAGATTAGTGAAGATGACAAACACGTGTCTCCCCCTATCTTGAAAATTTGGGAGGGGTTGTCATGTGCACTTCTTCATTCAAGTCCCCATGTAAGAAGGCATTTTGGACATCCAACTAATATAGGGGTCAGTGTTACATAGAGGAAATGATGAAAGGCATAGTACAATGACAAACTTTGCTATTGAAGCAAAAGTATCATGGTAGTCAAGGTCTTCTTTTTTGTTATAGCCTTTGGCCACCAATCGGGCCTTGTAGCGCTCAACTGAGCTCAAAATGGTATTAAACTTTGTATACCCATTGACATCCGACAGGCTTCTTGTCAGCCGGCAATTGAGCAAGAGACCAAGTCTTGTTTTGCTCGAGTGCCCGGAATTCATTTGTCATTGCTTCACACCATTTGGTATCACTCACAGGTTGTGAAAATGAGGTGGGTTCGCTTATAAAAGACACAACTAGGACAAATTTTTGGTGAGAAGTAGACAAATTTGCATATGAAATACAATTTGACAAATGGTGACAAATACCTTTTTTTGAACCTGTCACAGAAGGTGGCATGGAGTGACATGGCACAATGGCTTGTGAACAATGAAAATCACATAGATCTGAGGCTGGTTGACGATTTTGGCCAAACCGATGAGGAACTAGTGCATTTATGTCATAGGATGATCCATCAGAAGGAGTTTGGTCGATATCCATGTTAGAAGTGGGTAGTTGGTGGGGAGTGGATGAGTTATTTGAAGATGCATGTCTAAGGAATGGAAGGTAGCTCATATGACTTTGAGGAGCAATGTGGGGTGATAAGCTATCAGAAATGGGAACATGGTCGGGTGAGGTAGATGGTAGGTGTGTACTAGGAAAATCAGAAACAGGTAGAGGCAAAACGGAAGATGGTGGAGTAGGTGAGGTACACGAACCATTGGATTTGAAGGGAAAGATGGTTTCATGGAAGACTACGTCACGACTGGTAAAAAAATCTAGTTCTGAAGATCAAACAAATGGTAGCCCTTTTGTCCATATAGGTAGCCAATAGAAATATATTGTGGACATGAGCATCAAAGTTATCGTCATTGTGTGCGAGAGTAGTTGCATAACATAAGCGACCAAATGCTCGTAAATGTAGATAGGTTGGGGGCTTGTGAAAATGTTGTTCATAAGAGGTTATGTTGGATAATAGAGGTGTGGGATACAGTTTGTGAGATATGCAACGGTTGATATGTAGTCACCCCAAAATTGAATGGACAAATTGGCTTGGAAGCATAAGGCATGAGTGATTTCAAGAATATGATGACGTTTGCATTCAGCAACACCATTTTTGCTGCGGAGTAGCGACACAACTGTGTTGTTGAAAAACATCATTTTCTTCAAAGAAAATCCTCAGGTCTTTAGAAAAAATTTCGGAGCCATTACTAGTCTTGATTTGTTTGATTTTGTAGTTCAATTAGGTGTCGACTAGAGCAAAAAGATATTGTAAAATATTATAGTTTCTGATTTAAAACACCCATGTACATCAAGAGAAGTCATCTACAATTGTCAAAAAAAGTAACGGGCTCTAGAATGAGAAGGTTTGGAGTATCCACCCCCAATATCATAGTGTATTAATTCAAACGGTGCAATGGAAGTAATGGTGCTAGAATGAAAGGTCAATCACGTTTATTTGGCAAGTTGGTAGATATCACGATGACTTGAAGATAAACTAGAAATTTCTGAAACAGTCTAAAACAAATTTTGTATTCTTCTTGAAGAGACATGGGCTAGTCACCAATGCCAAACATCAAAACTAGCCAAGTTGGTTGCAAGAGCAGTACTCAGAGTGTCAGAAGCATGAAAATAATAACGACCACCATGTTGTTTCCAATTGTTATCTTCTTGGACTGTTCCTGAAAAATATAAGAATCATAAGAAAATGTAACTGAGCAAGGTTGAGAAGATGTGAGTTTGCTAACAAAGATAAGTTTAAAGGCAAATGAAGGAACACATAAAACATGGTGTAGACAGATATGTGGGCTGAGATAAATAATACCTATATGGGTGATTGGTGCGAATGTGCCATTTGGTAACTTAACATGTAAGAGAGATGAATTTTTGGTGTAGGGATGAAATAAATTAAGATAAAAAACATGTGGTCCGATGCACCAGTATTCACAATCCAAGAATGCTTAGAAACAAGAGAGTTGCAATAGAAAGTGTTACATGCAAAATTTACAGATGGTTGTGCACTACCTTCTTTTAGTATGAAATTGATCCAGGGTGAATGATTGAGCAATAAGATTTGATACTGAATTTTGTTGCTAGCTAGTGGCGGGTTTTTGCAGGTGGGTTTCGACTAGGCTGCTGTAACCGATGGCCAGGAGGCAGTCATGCAAGGCATAACAATTATCTTTAACATGACAAACCCAGCCACGATGCTGCCATGGCGAGCAGGGGCGGTGTAGGCAGTGGAGCTTTCTAGAGCGACTGGCATCAGGTGCGGGCTGTCGTGTGGGGTTAGAGACCCTAGTGGATTCAGCGAATGCAGTAGAGACTGCAAGAGGAGGGGATGGAACGGTGTGTTGTTTTACTTGCTGAAGCAAGAGTGCAAAGATTTTGTTCACAGAAGGGTAGAATCTGCCCTCGTATATGGCTATAGGAGTCATGAAGACCTATAAGAAACTGGGTGAGTCACTCTTGTTGTTGGTACTCTTGCAAAGCTTTAGAAGAACCACAAGAACAAGGTGGAAGAGTCATATAAGAAGAGAGCTTGTCTCAAAAGGTTTTCAGTTTCGTGAAATATGTTGCCACAAACTTGGAATCTTGAATACATAGAGCAATATCTCAACAAAGTTGATTATCCGTGGATCATTGCTTTGAGCAAAACACTCATTCAAATCAGCCCAAATTTCTTGGGCCACGTAAATGACACTCTGTGAAATATCGTAGGAAAGAGAATTGAGAAGCCATGACGACCATGTCATTGCATCTCTTCCAGGTGGAAAATGTTCGTAGAGGTGGGAGATGGACCAAGCATGGCGATGTGAGTAGTGCTCATGGCGTGGTTCCATATTTGGTAATTATCGCCAATCAAATGCTGGGAAACCAGAACTGTTCCTGGATTATTTGAATGATGCAATTAAAAAAGGACTAGAAGCATTAATAGCAACATCAAAGGTTGAATTACCAGTCCCCTGAGATAAGTTAGTAGTATTGGAAGACTGCATATGATCATTGTTAATCATGATGGCGACGAAGAGAGGTAGAAAATATAAGAAACTCAAAAACAGGAAACTCCAACAACAGACGATCTAGAGAGAAAGAGGTTGCGAACTTCAGTAGAGACTGACAAAAAAATAAGAACAGCAAGGTGCCTCAAACCAGAGAGTGAAATTATTGTTGAAATTGCTGATCATGCTGAGAAGTCCGTGAATCAGAGGTTATTGCACCTGCAAATAAAGTGGTTGTAGAGGTGGTGGAAGCAAGCACTAAATGAAGGCTTAGTGCTAGATAAAGGAAGGCAAAGAATGGTTTCCAACAGCAAAACAGATAAGAGAACTTATTTGAATGGGCGAAGGAAGGCCAAGCGTGATATCCGCAAAGCAGAAGAGGGAGAGAGGCTATTTAAATGCCCAAAACCCAATGAAGCCAAAAAAAAAAAAGCTTTCCTAAATAGAGATGGAGGCCCAACCCCAATATTTTGACAAAGTGATGGGAGACAAAAATCTGCTTAAAAAAGGGCTTTCTTATGGGAAATGTCAATAGTGCTATGATACTTAATTTGTGAGGGTAAATATACAGAATACATAAGGCAAAGTTTATCTGAGGGTGAGGCCTTAAACAATCAAATTAAGGCTCACATCAATATTCCCTGG